TGTGTGTGTGTGTGTGTGTGTGTGTTTACCCCATTCTCTCTCTCTACCTCTCTCTCTCTCTCTCTCTCTCTCTCTCTCTCTCCAAGGGACAATTGAAACATCTTTCGCCCTACTGTCGACGAGTGTCGAAGTCACAAAAACACGGGTCAATAATTTCGTAGGGCTGTGGAACATGCAGTTGCGAGCGCCGTAAAACCCTCTACTATATATATATATTTTAAAAATAGTGCTGTGGAAGCGTATTGAAGCGCGTACGCTTCCCGAACAGTCCAGTGTTATTGACGCGTACGCGTCCCGAACAGTCCAGTGTTATTGACGCGTACACCAGCCAAAAAAGAACTAGGCTTACGAAGAGTATGTAGAATATACCTGGTCTATGTACATGTAGATCTATTATAATTTATTGTTTGATGCTTTATACTTTATACAAAAGTTGCCAGATAATTTCCAATGCACAATCAGAGAGTATAGATCTAGAGATCTAGATAAAGACTATACTCTGTAGCCTATTGACATCGTGATCGATCTACCCAGTTAAAAATTGTCATCAATTAGAATATAATATGTACATTTATAGGCCCTACTGAAAATTGAAGGGGAAAAATCGAAATTGCTATAGATATATACTAGACTACTAATTTTTTTTCTTTATTAGATCTAGGTCTAAAGGTACGGCTTTAGCGTGGGTCCATCAAAGATAGGCCTAAGCAGCGAAATTGGAAAAAGTCAAGACACCAACCGCTTGCCGCTTGACATGACGCATGCGTCTTTTATTTTAGGCCTATTTTTAGACAAGAAGGCGGGGATCACATGATCTTTGTCACATGACTTAAGAAAGCTGTTCAGCAGTCAGCACTCGCCATAGTTTGCCTGGCAAAATGGAGAATACTTCCAAGTTCAGCCTGATAGTTCTGTTTGCCGTCTTTGCAGTTGTCTGCGGTTTGCGAAATGAAGACGTTTCAAATGTCGAGACTTTACCGACTGTTCAGACAATGGGCCAGCCTTGGCCAATGCCTAATATGTACGAAACATCGAACGTTGTCTTGACTGTTGATGAAAACTCGTTTCAATTTCAGACTGCTGGAACCTTTGATTGTGCGATATTGACAGATGCTTATAAAAGATACGCAAAGTTGACATTTGGAGGCTATATCTCCAATCGCAAAAGGTGAGTGGTCTTTTTGAAAAGTTACCTTTTCTCATTTCTTTGTTGTTTTGATTGGTTCTCAAAATGCCGTGGCTCGCCGTGAGTATAGAAAAAGGCCACCTCTATTCTCACCCGGAGTGAGAATAGTGCAGGCGAGTCTTGTGGCTATTCTCACCCGGTGCCCGTTCACCAAATT